CCCCAAAACCCCAAAACCCCAAAACCCCAAAACCCCTTTAGGATGTTTTATGCTTGAACACAAATTTTAGGTAAAGCAATCACCCATTAGTTCAAACTTTAGTCCCAAATCCTTTCTAACTATTTTTGAGGTTGACAGCTGTTTTCAATAGCAAAGAATAGATTGAGAGAAGATTTTCAAAGCTCTTAAAGAAATCGCAATTCCTTTACTTGCTTTGAGTTGCTCTTCTCTTATTTAGCTTGTTTGTTCTTCAGTCGACTTTTGGGATATTCGAAAATTTTCCCTTTAAGTCTTCCTTCATGGAAACTGAGTGGGGTTGATTCAAGGAGTTGATCTGCACGGAGTTCACAAAAATCGAAGCTGAGTCTGTTGCCAATTCTGTGTGGTGTTCTCTCATCCTCTTCATAGTTCTCTTGTTTGGGCTCATCACAGAGTAATTGATCATTCATAGCAGTTTTCGGTTTGTTGAAAAGTTGTTCCAAATTAAAATGATAATCCTCGATATCTCCTGTGTTATTTATAAACAAGTTGGTTTATGATCATGTCATCAGACCTATCAGGCTGAGGAGTCCTTAAGGGGTCTACAGATCCTCTCATGAAGTTCTTATCAAAGTTATGCGGGTCTTGATTCATGTCCACAGTTCCTTTTCTATAGTTTCTTTTATCTACTTCGGCTATATGGTGTAAAGATTAGCTTTGTTTAAGTTTGATGAAAAGATAATTTTGTAAACTATAGTTACAATTTAGTAATTTTCTTCCAGGTTGAACTGGTTCAAAATTAGAAATAGAGAGGGTTCTCTTGCGTCCTTCCTTTTCATCTTCGTTCTTTTTATCCTCATCTTTTTGTTTAGAAAATTCTAAAGATAATGAAGGTTCTTTACGATGCTGACACTCTGCTTCGTCATTTTCTGAAGTCTTCACTCTTTTGTTGATTCTTGAATTATTTCCATCATCTCAGTGATTATTAAAAGCGTTTTGAATATTGTCTTGCAAGTGCTCTTTTCTAGTAGATGTTCTAGAGGAATCATCTATTTCTGATCTTTTTCTTTTGAGGTTTGGGCTTTTGGACACGCCGCTCTTTTGCTCTTCTGAGTTTGATGGTAAAGCGATGTTCATGACAGATCCTTTAAGCTTCCTATTTGCGATAATATTGACTTCCCTCTCTTCATCATAATCTGTATTGTCCATTCCTGAAGCAAGCAAGTTTTTCTCAACTTCTTTTAAATCAAGTCCTTTTAGAAACTCTTCTAAAGTCAGAGACTTTTTATCAAGTTTGACGAAGAACTTTTGTGCATGAGATCTTGCCTGAGTACTGGTCCGAGTGTGAACATGTTGTTGAACTTTCTGCCACTCCTTTCCAAACTTTTTAAGTGCTTCAAGGAACTTAAAGTGCTCTAAGCATGTCCATCTACCTTGATTGTATACAACTTGCTTATCATCTCCAGAAGTTAAGCCTGAACTATTATTAGTAACCTTTGCAGACATCGTCCTTTTTAGACTTGCTTCAGGAAGTGAAAGAGAAGGTATATTTCCTACCTTTCTCCTTCTTTTAGAGCTGCCTATTGATCCAGGAGGATTCATCTGGGAAGGAGATTGACGTCCAGCTACATGACCATATTCAAAGTCTTCATATTTTGAAGGTCTCTTTCCTAAATTCTTGTAAGAGTTATACCCATATTTAGCGTTTCTCTCACTCCTTCTCAGGAAATTAGCTGAAGAGTCTTGTTCAACATTATTTACATCATCAGTATTAACTTCGGCTTGACTAGACAAAATAGGCTGAGAGTCTTCCTGAGCAGTTTTGGCGGTCGATACTCTAGTACCATCATTTTCATTGGAGTATTTTCCACCTGGGCTCACCTTAATAACATTACTTTCTTCAGGAGATTGGTCAATATGCGCATTTACTCTTTTCCTACCATCTTTCCCAGAAGTGATGCCTGAAGGTGCCTCATTTTCGAGCCCTTGGCTGTCACGACTAGATTGATTTCCTCCAATTGTGAAGGATTTAGAGCCATCAAATTTTGACATTTTCTTTGGCCTTGTCGATATATAATCAAGTAATAATGAATTAATGCATTTTTTCTCATATGGGGTTTTGGGGTTTTGGGGTTTTGGGGTTTTGGGGTTTTGGGG